ATCTCAGAAGTCTTATAATCGCCTCGATAATCTGAAAGCAGTAACCCGGTCGCCAAAAGTAGATAAAAAACAAATGATATGAAGAAATAAGGACAAATAAACCTTACTCAGCCCTCTGTGAGAGAAGACACAAATAAGTGGTGCAGAGGAGAAACTGCTGGTAAAGATATTGCTTATTGAGCTCCCCCAAACATAAATAAACTCAGAGGATCAAGCCTCACAGAGCCGTTAGGTGGAACCGCATTCAGATAGGGGATCAAACCGATGATCTGTCCAAGACGCCTGGCAAGAATGGATAATAGCGAAAACCATTTGTCAAGAAGAAAAAATAGAAAGTACAAACGAAAATGGAATTCCGTCCGCTGTTGCAGCTCAGAGGACTACTATCGACAAATACTGCATGACTGATAAATGACCGACGTACTTCAGCGGCTACGGACTGGTGAACAGGGGTTGAAGACAATCCACTCTAAAACCCAGGCTCAGACAGGTTCACGAGGTAGGAGAAATTTATGGAAGCTTATGATTGACCACATCAAGTGTTGTTTTAAAATTTTAATTTAGTTTACACATTATGCAGATTTTAGTCAACTACCAGTTGGGTCAAGTTGTAAAGCACATGCATAAGAGAGCATCGTCGTATGCCCAGCATGTTTTGGAATGGCTACTCCAAAACACCGTGGCGTTGTTACTATTCGCCCAACAACGATCTACAAACGGTTTTTCGGCTGATCGCACTGTATCACAATGGGCGAATTTATTGTTCAAAGCAATTAGCAGTTCATTAGTAGATCAGAAACAAAATGTATGAAAAAAGTGCAACGAAAAGATATTGCTTCGAAACAAAGAAAATGGCAAAAATCGTTAAACGATAAACAAAAACGAAGAAGGCTGACAATGAGAGAAAATTACCTTTAGAATATCCACGTTCAGATCTTCGTAGGCACTGTCGAATTCTCCGGACGATAGGAGGTCAATAACGTGCGACCTAAGATTCGAGTTGACCAACTATAAGAAAGTTCTCGTTGCCTACAACCGAACAAAAACGCATGAAGAATACGATCATTTACATTTCTGTGCAGAGGACTGCGCCTTTCCATGTACTTCGGTGACGGTTTTTTCTGCACGACCTAAATTTATCATTTACAAGTAGCACAAAATATAAAAATTAATAAACACAGAGCTGCAGTTCAATTTTTGATTAAAAATTTTCTCATTTTAATACATGCCGGATAGAAGAACATCTTTTGATCTTGGCGTAAGATAACCAAGTACGTGGTAATATCCCATTACTGAAACGTTATTCACGATGAACAAGGCATTCCCTTAGCAAACAAAGGCGATAACTAAGGAAGTAAGCGGGAGATAACTGATGGATGGTGTGAGCGAACAAAAATGAAATAATGTTCTTCATGCTAATCAGATAGCCAATACCAGGAAATCCGGTGTAATCAACCTATGAAAGTTGTATTTTATGTGGACGTAATACTGGACAGAAGGTGACAATTATAACTGTCAACAAAATTGAGACAGAAAAAAGTAAAACCTGAAAGGCGCATAAAAGTCATCAGTGATCCAAATGGTACCTAATAGCCAGGAAACGATCTCATACCATGTGGCATCAACCTTTTCTGATCCCCTGCTGGATAAAAGCTTTTTCAACAACCATAAATTTTAGTAATCTGCAATTATTTTTCATCTTGATTCAACGAAGTTTTTCAGATTTATACTGTCATCTTCCTACCGTCCGTTTACTCGCCACTGGAATTCCATCTAATGTCTCTTTGGTCGAGCGATTGTCGGGTCTTCTTGCAACGTGTTCCGCCAATTGTTATCTCAATTTCTTCACTCGAGCCATGCCACAGCAATTTCATGTTTGTGCTCTGCTCTATCAGTTCATCTTCTTATTTTTCTTGCTACTGCCAACATGCATCTTGCTATTTTGAGCTGCATAGGCAGGCTTCAAGATATGAATAGTTTTAGGAATAGGGTCCAGGTTTCGTACACAAAGGTAAGCAGAGGGAGCACTAATAATGGAATACCTTCTGTTTCAATCAAAATGTCAGTCTCCTAGACAAGAACATTTTCACCGTTACAAAAGTGCTCCATGCCATTATTAATTTTCCATTGATTTTGCAGAATCGGTTTTGGGTCGCAGAATAACGGTATTCGAACCGGTAGAACTGTGCAAAGCGACTTAAATTATCAAAAACTCAGTTTTAAAACATTTCCAAAGCTTCTTCTTCCATCAGAACGCCTAGCAAGCAGATGATATATACTTCCTCAGGATCCATGCATAATCTAAGAACATTAAAAAATATATATCCGACCTAACCAATAACTAACCAATGATTACTTCTGTAACGATTACTCCAAATATTGAGTGATTACAAAAAACAGTTCAAAGCTGGAAAGATATTCAAGTTTAAATAGATTTAAGAACTAGAATCTCTGTTTTTGGGTTGAATGAATGACTAGCCATTAAGCACTGAAAATAACATATCTGAAACACATGCTAAGTTGATCAATCAAAGTACGTTTTGCATTAGTAATAAAAATCATGTAAGAGTTTCGCAGTTGAAGCCAAATATTTTAACTCATATGACACAGACCAAAAAAAGTCATCTTACCAGCTGCTGTGAGAGACCAAGACGATTGAGGACTACATTGTACCTTAAATGCTGAATAATTTTAGTATAAACTAGATACAGTTCAAATTGAACAAACAGTACATGAAGAGCAATCACGCGATATCATAGATTTAAAGATGTTTCAGAAACGTTAGCGGGTAAAAACAACGTGTTATTTACGTAACAGGGAGAGCAAAATATCCTGGCAGAGTCAGAGTTAAAAGAGGAAAATGAGGGATTTTTCAGTCAATCAACGATTTTCATACCATTGAAGAAGCTGTTTCAACCTTCACCAAATGATGAGGTCATTTACTACTTGAACAAACTCTTGATCTAGAATGAAAAAATGCGAAGATTTCATGCGATGAATATAAATGAACCAGCCGGCTCTTGGCCTGATCCTTGACCGCCTACTATGTCGGCTGCACCCTGCAGAGTAGCAAGCAACTGCCATAGGAGAGCTTCCGATTTGCAGAACAAGAGTCTCACAAAAGAGAGCATCTGGTGATGCACTGTTTCGATGTCAGTGCAAATTTTTCAAACCAGCAAACTTTACGAGCAACATCCATTCTGCGGCTGATATCCCAGATCATACTCTTTTCATCAGTATCCATTTACTGCAATACATTAAGAGGCCTTATAGGCAGACGAATCATTGCCTTACATGTGTGATGTGTGCTTTCTTCAACACCACAGACTGACTTAGCTCCAGCGTCAATTCGTTCGATTGAGGAAATCCGTGTAATGCCCACAGTCACTCGTAATTTAAATTTATCCATCTAACTAGACTACACTCCTTGGCCCGATTACGAGTTGTCGCTTAAGTGCACGAAGGCCTTGAAACCGCGTAGGGCGATTTTCCTTCTGCATCACTGCGTACAGTGCGGATGACAGCGGCTCAGGTTCAATCAATCTGAGAATGAAATCCCATCTAAATGCCCGTCAAAACACCCCACTTGTTTGATCTGAAAGAAAACGTTTGTCTGAAAAATTTGTCTGTATCGATCTTGCTTATACTTTAATGATGGGAAAATTTTTGTCCCCTCTTTCTTCTTGAAGTCAGCAGTGAGACGCCGATCTCAAATGTCACCTGCCAGGAGTGTTTACTTTTTAAAAGGCAAAGTCGACAGCAACTATATGGTAAGCATATAAAATAGTCTCTTGTTTCCTTCCCACAGAATGGAACCCAATTATTATCCTAGGAAGAAAGGCGAGTGACCCGGTCGGGGCTCCAAACCAGGATCTCTCGGCTTCGAATCTTACGCTCTATCGACTTTAACACCCTGGTCCATACAAAGTGTTATAATACGTCCCGTAAGACACATATATGACAGCATTTTAAAACGGATTAAAGCCAAGGAGAAAACAGATCAGAGAATTAAGTAGATTTTACAGAGAAAAAGCTTGCATTAATGTACTTTAGTCCAAAACGGCGCTGCGCAAGCTTCATGAAACTTTTCTCGATGCTTCTCTGAAACCGACCAAGGTCTTTAGGCTCAACGACGATACCCTTCTGCCGATTCCTTACGATGACAATTCGTGAGCAAGTGGGTCGCATCAACTAAAAAATATAAGGAAGAAAAAATCACAAAGGAAAGGAAATTTCTGGTAAATCCCTACCGTCAGCATCTGTGTGGAACGTGACAGAAACATGGCGAAACAAAGTCTAATTGAAAATTAAAATCTCTTCTAAAAGCCAAGCGATATCTTCAATAAAGAATCCAGAAGTTCGCGTAGAACTCGATAGCTAAAGTACAAGAAATATACGACACAAAATGTTTAAAGTTAATCACCGTTCCACAATCGAGCACAATACCTGAAACATTATGAAAATTATCCATTTTAAACCTTCGTAACATCTACACCTATTCGTGAGCAACGATTATAACTAATTACTACTTGGCAAATTAATTTCGTTTAATCATGATGATGATGATAATCTTAATTCTAAAAAGGATCCCAGTTCCTACTGTAGGATATGATTGGTCTGAATTTGAATTTTTACAGCTTGAATGACATCAGCAATGAACACCATTTTATCGGCATGAAGAAAAGCATACATACGACATACCATAGGATATAAGGAAGACAGTATACGTCACTAATACACAGCTGAATGACTATTGGAACAAACAATATATAGCAAGAACTCAACTGATGTGAAGTGAAGAAGCAAAAAGAGAAACAAAATTAATGAACATGAAGCATACAGCGATTGCTCAGTGAGTTACAGCCCAACTTGTTCAGTGTCTTGCAGGATCCGCGCTGAGGCTGAGACGCCGACCGATGTGCGGTAAAGCTCTCTTCTGGCGTACAAATTTACGAAAAGAAACCTTGCAGAAGAACGACGAGAAATACAACCTATGAGAATGTTATACAGGGGATCAGCATTGTTTATGAAGATATTGTTGCTTATCCGAATTCCGTGATTTACTGCAAGATTTTCACCCTTAGCCTTTTAGCCATTTAAGAAAGTACCACTGCACTTCTTGTCCATCTCGAGAGAACTCCAAATTTTGCAGTCGCGTTAAAAAAACGGGAAAAACAGTCGCGGAGGCAGAATTAAATTCTTACATTAAACATGCGTAGATAAAGTTCTTAATGACATCAGGAGGAACACGGAGGTTCCTCAATCTCCGGATAAAGAACGATGCATGGCAAGTACCAGTTGCTACTGAATTGATGTTTATGTCAGGAAAATTCGGAGGAACGGATGACAACCAGTTTAAGTTTCAATACCAGCCACAGTCTGATCAAGGAGAGTGAGTGGCCGGAATGAAATGTCTAATAGTTGTTCATTCCTGGTACGGCGCATACTGAAAATCCTATCCGACGTTTTATGAGGGTTCAGCTGAAGCTCGTTGATTGAAAGGTAGTGAAAAATTTTCCTAATGCCGTTCAAATACGTTTTCCAATCCAGAGGCGATTTTAGACACTGTACTGTCCCACTACGAATGTATCACCAGCATACTTAAAAAACTGGAGATAGATCGGTAATGCCGGTTGGCGTAATTGCTGAACAGTATGGGTAATTGGACAGTTCCGTACACAACACCAAGACTGTTCTCCACGAAGCAGGATTTCTTTCCATCAATCTTGACAAACTGACAGCAGCGAAAATGATTATTTGTCAGATGTTGACAGCTAATCTGTTCAGCTTGCATAACGGCTTGTCGCGAGGAATCATACTGAACACCGAAGTTAAATCAGTGAACTTGGAAAGGCAGATTCCTTGTCCTAGATCGAGCTCTGCCGACTGCATGAGTTATATGGGCAATTGCGTCTTCTGTCTCCATTTTTCTTGTATCTGATTGACAAGAGTTAGTTGTGATGATCTATAACTGGCAAAACTAGCAGCTCAAGTCATTTAAGGAGGACTGATGGAATGCCTTTATATTAGCTCCCTTTGAACACTGGAAAAATGCAAGCGTCAGGAATCAATACACCAATCGTCAGGGTTCAGTGACCAGCGTAAGCACAAATCAAACACGTTCTTCAGAACGTCACCCAAAATGGCAGGGTACCGTTTCAATATCATGGGGCACACTTGGTCGGAACGGAAAAACACCTTAAATTGAAAACCAGCCAAAAAATTGCGAAACTTTGCTGCTGTGAACTGAAGGGGTGACTTACCTGCTGCTGAACATGGGATTAGGAATCCATAAAGGGTCATATTCTTTTTCGCGGCGTAGAACAAGCTAGTTAAACTCGTTCAGATCCACAAGAGAAAGGCTGTGGCGGATGTAGCGCTGCACAGCTATTTAAAGTTAGCTTTAAGTTCTTTGGATCGCTATGGCAACGGTTTACATAAAGCATATTGAGTCGGCTGATTAGGAGAACAGGGGCAGGTAGAGTTGATGCTCCCCACGTCGTTTTGACCTTTCCTTTAGCCGCAGAAGTAATTCTACGTTCATTAATTAAAATCTCCTGCATCGGGAAATTTTCAACGTTGAAGGAGTCATTGAAAAGTGGTGATTTTGCAGACAATGTTATTATGCTCTTCTTGGCTTAGAATGGTGTCTGAAATCACAGGACAGTTGTAGATTGAGAGAAATCGTTGCAAATTCTCAATATTCCTCGTGCATGCGTATCGATATTGGGAATCGGACAGCACTGTCTACTCACTCGAACCTTCGACGGTAAACAGAACGTCAGCATAGGAACTGAATAAGAATATGAAAAAACAGGCTGGGTGATTAGTCAGAACTTGATCCAAGGCAGCATCACACCTCGCATTAAAAGAAAACGAAATTTTGAGAAGCAAGTGGGACAGAAATGACTACACTGTCAATCATAACAGACGAAACAAACAAATCGTGTAGAAGGGTATTTAAGGTAATCATTCGGTATTCATGAGGCATTTCGTATGACAGAATCACATCTAGAAGAGAACCGAAAAAGAACACAGTCGAATCGAGCAACAAGTGCATCCGACACAGTCAGGATGCTGAACCGTTTGAACATTCGACAGAACCCAAAATATGCAAATTCATAAAATGAATCTAAACAAATCCCGTAAGTTTTTTGGATCATCAGTCTACCAATCATCATCACGAAATGGAGGCTATCGAAAATAAATCACAACGGAAAATAATTGAGTAATATCGTCAATTTGCTAGCAACTCTGTAGTGTTGAGAATACAAGGGAAAAGAGTTAAAGCCACTCTAAGCGAAATGGAACAGGATGGACTTTTGCCAAACATATGGATGAAAAATGAGAAATGAATTAACACAACTAGCTATAGATGGCAAAATTGTTAAACAGATGAATTCACGGAGTACCTCATCCCAAAACAGGTAATCGTCCCCAATTATTCCTTCATACAAAGTTTATCGAGGCTCGTGTGGGGCACAACCGAAAAGACGGCTGAAATATTTGAGAACAGAACTACTAATACAGCCGCATGTGGCTGAAGCATAATACTGTCAGCATATAGAATTTCTCTGCATCGCTGAAACTTTACAACGAACTGAGTATGGCTCGAAACATCCATAATTTGTGCAATATAGTGTATATTCTGAGATCTCCTTAAGAAAAATGAAGACTATGGACTCTAAAAAAATCAGAAGAAATAATCAATAACAATGAACATAGTTACATATGATACAGTTCGAAGCAAATCTTAACTGAAAACTACTTTTTTATTAAAGAAATCTTAGTTGTGTAAAATATGTAAAATAGATACTTTGCAGTCATCGCAAACTGCGCTATAAGAGATCAGCAGGTTCATACCATGATTTAAGTTTGAGACATTATAAAAAATAACAATCCATTACCGTAGATGTGTTTCTACGAAGAATATATTGAAATTTTTCGCCAGGTAGAATAAGCCAAACGACACGACACATGCATCAAAAAATTGACTGACCCTTCTTCGTAATTAATATGGATCAAGGTTGTTAGGTCTCAATACTCACGTTCGTCAGTATAGAGCGATTTTAATCACGATCTTCCATGTCTACTGTAGCTAATCGTCTCATTATAGTCGAGATTCTGTGTTTGCAGGTCTTTATTACCAAACCGTCACTGGTTATGTCAATCGGTCATCCATCCGTTGTGCGAGGTAGTCCGATCATGACCGACTCGAACGGCACAAATTGCGGTGTTACTTTTACTTGTGCTGTCCTTTACAGTGGAATTTGTTAAATAGAGTTGGTTAACATCACCGCTTTTCCGGGCTTCTGCGACACAGCCTCTCGCCCTTCACTCTGACTGAATGTGGATTCATGAGGATTGGCTCAATCGAAAATTTTTTCGATGAGAATAGCCACCTGTTCACAGAATTTTACTTCTGCATCACGGAGCTATGAATTGCCTCACGGAGGATAACGAACACAATGAGCATAAATGGCAAAATGAGTCTATCAAGTGTCATGTTGAGTCGGAATGAATTAATTAATTTTCGGCATGCTTCAGTCTTGTCTGGAAGCTTAATGAACCTGTGCAGGCTTGCGAAGGACCCTCAAAACTCGGACATTGTAGTGATTCGGTTACACTAAAAAGTACCCGATCTCAAAAAGAGCGTTCGTGAGGCTAAAAGAAAATGTGACATAACAATGTAACATATTTCCATTCCCCATTAAGTTCTTTGGTCAAATCACGCAACATGCAAAAGACATGAACAGGTGTACTTATGCAAGCCTGATTGTGATAAAAAATGCAACGATGCTGCTTAGGCGAAGGTAGCCTTATTTTAGTCTTATATTTATGTGTTCGGCGGGTAACCTGTCGCCCACAAATTTGGGATGTGCAGGACTCTGATTCGAGAGATGGATTACGTTTGTCTTAAATGGGAATTCCAGGAAAATTAAAGGAAAATTTTCTGAGGCTGGCCTTGGCGGAACCTGCCGAAGAACCGGTACAAAATGGTTGACTTGTGAAGAAAAAGGAAAAGATCGTATTCGTCTATAGTGGAATCAAAACGGGCAGGAGACACGCTACTGTGATGCTGTCTGTTTGATATCACAGTGCTGCAATTCGCTATAGTCAACTTGGTCGACCCTTTTACTCATAGCTTTGTTGCAGACAGTGGCAAATTGTTAATTGCACCATTATTCTTTCGAAGTTAAGGGAGTGGTTTTGCAGTTGACCGGCGAGTTACTACTTCACAGAGTAATTCCGTCTAAGTTTCATCTCACCTCGTTTGTTAATC